GGAGAGGGGAATAGTTTTGAAGAAGACGATGGGTTTATAACGCGTGAATTTTACATCTGCATGGCATTTGGTTTCATTACTGGATTCTGGGTAGTTGTTACAACTCTAGTCCTCAAGCATTCTTGGAGGCATTCCTACTTCAACTGGTGGAACAATGTTGGGAACTGGATGTACGTGACAACAACAATCTATGTGACAAGATTCAAGAGAAAATTTCTGGAGTGAAGGTAAACATTTCAATTTACTTTGATCAATCTAATTGTTTAATATCCATATCTTGACTTGTCTAAATACTGAAATCAGGAACCCCTTTCGGAAGACAAGAAAGTGTCGACTATCATTTGAACAAGTTGTTGGCTCGAGAGGTGCAGGGACTACGGAGGGCATTGTTTCTGCTCTAGTTAATGTCATTTTCTTATTTTATAAGTATTTGTAAAATAATATCAATTGTCGAGTTCTCAAATCTATACAAATAACTAGCTTTGTTGTGCTAATCATTGAGGTAAAACCTATCAAGTAAATGGCTTGATTAATTAGTTGGTTTAGTTATTTTTATTCACGTAATTCACTTGTTTAATTTGTATGTATTAGACATCTCAAGTCACTCTTTAGATTCGTCTATGCAAGATGCAATTAAGTAATTAATAAATTTTATACTCCACTACATGCGGCCAAGAATAGCCATGATGGGGGCGAATAGCAAGTTTGCTATGTCTAGGGACTAAGTCTTAATCCCTTATGAGAGCAATAATAATCCCAAAAACAAAAACACAAGGAGCAAACACACAATTATAGTTGTTTTCCCATAACGGATGTTTATGTACACCTAAAATTGACCCCTAAAACATATGATGTATTTATTGATATTTGAGTATGAGGCTCAGCAGTGGAGGACCTGGAGGTCGACTGACGGAATGAGGCTCATCGGGAGTAAGCAAATCGTCTATCACTGCTCTCTCCGAAATCATAATTGCCAACGAATGATCTTGGGGACTCAGATTCCAGCCTGGGATAATTAAACAATGCATTTTTCCTCTTTAGGTAAGGAAATCTCGATTGATCCTCCATTGAACTAACATAGAAATCGGAGTTTTTATAAATCTGGTAAAGAAATCTAAAAATTTAAGTCCATCTCATGACAAATCTCTAAAGTTTCAAACAATTTTATGTTGGGACTTGCCCACTAATAAATGAGGTATACACATTTAATGATTCTCGATAGATTTTATATGCATGATTAGATGCTTTATAAATATTAAAAATTCTTCTATTTTTTATATGTAACTTTAAATATTACTAGTCTGAAGCACGTGCAATGCACGTGCTACCAGCGTAATTGACTATTTAATAGCTTGGTTGTAGAAGTTTAATGAAACAAACATCAATTAATGAAGCGCCAGAAGATAGATTTCACCATCCATGTCGGCCAAAAATCAAAAATAAAAAAACTACCACTAAACAAACCGGCAATTAAACACACTTCATGTCGGCCAAAAATCAAAAACTACTTATTCATTTATTTAAAAAAGAGGTAATATAAAGTGAGAAATCAGTTATACAGTTCAAAAACTCCTTCCTCCGTGGAGCTTTTTTCCCCTTCCTCCGATGAAGGATCGTCTTGGTGACTTGGTGCCTCGGTGCGCTCGTCG